GAGGTTCCAGGGGCGATTTTCAGTGGTTGGTTAGAGAAGAGGGGATATATGTGTGTGTGTGTGTGCGTGTGGAGGACGAAGTATTATGCCCGGGCCGGGGCAGGCGGCATTGCTTACTGGGACTAAAATTTAATATCCGGCCACGGGCGTAGAGGCGGCCGGTACAGTGAAATTTAATATCCACAATAATCTTGCATCACCTTTCTACGTCGTGGTGGTTGGCGTAGGTCGCGGGTTACCTCCGTCTACGAGGACATCGACCTCGTAATGGTCGAGCGGCACCCGCTCATTAATAGTCGTAGAAATTAATTGGATTTAAGAACGGTCGAGAACCGGTCTTGCTTTTGCTCTTGCGCGACACGGATTGAAAAAGATGATACTCGGTAATTAAAACGTAATATCACGCCGGTAGGCCGCCTATTAATTAGTAAGCTTAATTAGTAATCCTTTTAATTGGACGCGACGCGGCGTTGTTAATGCCGTTTGAGGATGATCTCGCGATCTTTTCGCGATCCACACACGTACACGTACACTTCTACGTCTGTAATTATTTCCCTTTTCTTCCTCGTTTCGTTTTATCGCCACAACCCTTCTTTCGTTTTTTCTTTTCTACCTGTCGTTTTTCTTTTTTTTTATCTTTCGCCCTTCTCGTTGCCTCGACAAATTTTATAATTGTGGCCCGTGGCCCGCGTCGAGGGGAACATATTCATTGTCGATAACGGGTCGAAGGAAAAATACAGAGCTGGCTGGTATCCAAGGGGCCATTGTCGTCCGGTTTTCGAGCAGCGGCAACGCCAGACTAGCCTAACTTTTATGCGGCCACGTGCAAAAAGACGCTTGCAAAAAAGCGCATGCCCCCTCTCGACACGGAAGATATTGGCGCGCAACCGTGAACTCGTCCCACAGTTATCGCGCGATACATAAAATTCCCTGCGTGTTGCTCTGTTTTTCTTTTCTTTTCACTTTTTTTTTTTTTTTTTGCCTGCGGAACTCCATCCTCCCTGCTATGGATCCTTGTGCTCGGTTTTTCCGATGGGACTGCACCGCTCTCTGCGCGGTTATTTCTCCTCGTTAGGACTTTTTTGCGGTACCGTTAGATTTCTACCGAATGTGCGTGCTTTCGTGCAAGAGAAAAGTTTCCTTTGAAATTCCGTCAACTCGCAGTGGACGAATGAATAAGCCATTCTTAGGGTGGAAGAATTGGGAAATTCGTCGTATCTTATTCTTCGAAAATGTGTGGAAATTTGGGTAAATAATTGACCCGAAGGAAGATAGAGTGGATTAAGTGAAATGTATCGAGGATTTTAGCGTGCTTTCAGTTTCCGTTACAACATTCTTAGAATGAAAAAAGCGCAAAATTTATTCTACTTCATTCTTCAAAGCTGTCTAAAATAATTTCCCGAAAAAAGGGACAGAAAGCAGGATTAATCAAAAACAGATACAGGGTAATATGGAAACTAATGCAAACGTTAGTTAGGTAAGCGAATTTAAAACGAGACCGATCGGTTTCCCCTGGGAAATGCTGCTCATCAAACTTCGCGACACTCTCTTTAGTATTCACGATCCGTGGGCTTGAGCATCCTAATCTGGCGAATCTCTCGTGATCCTTGCCACGTTTCGTCTATTATCTGTTAGTGAACTTGTCAACACAGCTATTTACCAAACCCATATCCCCGACGTGCAGGCGTACGGTGTCGTAACGAAGCGTCTATTTCAAGGAATCGTATATGTAGCTCTCGTGTACCGTCGAGACCTTATGGGAATTAGGACTGATGGAAAGCACCCCGGTGGCAAGTGCGGAGAAGGCACCGCCACAGATCAAGCTGCTGTCAAGGATAGTGTCTTCGTCGGTGCTGATTTATAACACGCAGCGGCTATTAGACATTATACAGCTCACCGTCCCTAACGCATTTGTCTTTTACACGTCTGGACCTGGTGTTCCAACTGTGATGTTCCGGTTTTGCCTGAATTTCAGTGTGAGGGAAGCTCGAGTAGCGACAGTGTGAGAGTAGCGACACTGTATCCGGTACGATCGAGAATTTTCAAGACAGAGAATGGTTCGGACCCTGTGTCTACCGATGACGAGCGAAGTGAGACGAGGCAATCGTTATTTTATGGAAGGGATAAAGAAGCGGAGATCGAGTCCGGTGCATCGTGAAATTTCGTGTATGCCGATGAATCCGGTGTCCTCCGAAGTATATCGTCCTGGCGTTGATATCGGAAAGACGAAGGATCGTGGAAGGGAAGGGAAAAGGAGAAAAGTGAAGAGGCTGAAGAGCTGTTCACGTCCTTGTAAATTTTCAGTTGTCCGTTGTACTGTGCGTTACTGTTATTCGTTGAATAACACGCAAAAGTAGTTTTTCATTCGATTCAATTGTAGATTTTCATTTAACCCTTTATAACGCCGTGTGTCTTAGAAGCGACTATTTTATGTCAAATGACTGTGGTAAATTTACTATAGTTACTCTAGCTTTAAATAATATAAGAATGCTTTTTTTTTATCGGGGGAGAAGTTGGGACTGGGTAGGGTGACTGGTCGGTAGCTTTCCAAGTCAAGGTACATTCCTCGCGGCTAATGTTAAGATGGGTGACCGCCAACGTTGGAAAAAAAAATTTATATGCATACGGAGGGGAAGGGAGCGTCTAATAATAATATAAATAAGTCGAATATATAAAGTCAGTTCATCCAAACTGCAATTACGAAGTTGCACTAAAATTGCATAAAAAATTGAGAAGAACTGTTCTCCCTTTTATAGAAAGTTCCACATATAGAGTCTATTACAGAGGCTTCTGTCTAATATTCCCGTCTCAGACACGTAAATATTTAACGTTAAGAGTGAAGTGAATATTTGAAAGGAACGGGGTTATACAGTATGTAACAAAAGTTCCATGACTCTGAGTTTAGTAATTTATTGTGGTGCAATGAAAGAGAGTAGAAAAACAAGCATGACAGCTTGACATGTTCACGACCCTGTTGAGTGACGTTAACTGTCTAAAATGTTGAAAATTTAAAGAGAAAATCTCGGTACGCGATACATTGAACGTTTTCTGCAATCTCAGTTTGCAAACTTTAGTTACACACTGTACATACAGGGAAGAACTTAAGGGAGCAAAGTTTTGGATAGAGAGCACCCTTGTGGCTAATGCGGAGGCAGCTGATACAGATCAAACTGTCAGAGATATTGTCTTCGTTGCTGGAAATTCACGAGGTATCGCGGACTGTCCGCAATGTGAATTTGACAGTGAAGTTTCTCACAAACTGCTAGACAGGAGAGAATTGAATATTGAAAGGTCTGTTTCCAGTACAGTCAGGAATATCGAAGCTCTCCACTCATCTATGTCTACTTTTCTAATTGTCAATTCTGACGATAATAATATTCGACAATTCTCCCAATCGTTCAAATCTACCACTTTTATCACAGATGATCCGTTTATTACTATTTTTATTCCTTCCCTTAATTCCTCCTGTTTCACCTGAACAATTTCATTTTCAACGTTTTATTCGCAGTTAAAATTTTCTACATCGTTCTCAAAGGTTTCACCCTATACATATACTGTAAAGTCCAGATAACACGGTAGAGTAAGCAAACATTGTGGTGGGAGAAGTGACACAGTGACCTTGGGCGACCACAATCTTTGCTCCCAGCTATAGCCGATACCTGCATGGAAGTAGAAATCGATAGCGCAATCTCTGACGCCGGTGCACAAAATTTTCCAGCAAAAGTTTCTCACGGTAAATTTACGATACGCTCTGACCATTCTACATGCGATAAAAAAAAAAAGGAAGAAAAAGTTTGTCACTTTTTCTGTTAATTATTCCCTGTCACAAACACGGATCTATGTGTGTACGTTTCGCGTGCTATTCGCAACAGAGATGCAACAAATCCGGTACAAAATCCACAATGTAATTCGAATCGGGGGTAAGGACGTGTTCAGGATGCAGGATGTCCTCAGAAATGAAATTTCACCGACTTCTTTTGCCTGTCTCGCTTCCG